TTTGTTATTCTGACTTGTTCTATCTCGGGTGAGACTTCCACGGCCAAAGATGGACTCAGGACATTGAACCATAATAATACTATGTGAAAGTTGCTGTGGCGTATTATTAGGTCCTAATTAGCTGGTCAGTGGATGGTCTCTGGTGTCTTCTTGTTATAGATCTAGGTACAGGAAGGCCACAGGGCGCCACTGCTGTCTATTTGTTCAGGTCTAGGTACTAAAAGGCTAGAGGGATATCCTACCATTCATTTCTTTACTAGGTACTAAAAGGCTACAGGACACCACTGGTGTCTTATTTGTCTAGGTGCAAAAAGGCCAGGCGGAGAGAGCCATTGTTTTTATTTTTTATTCACTTTGCTCAAGGTTCTAATAAAACGAAGAGTTGCAATAAAACAGTTTCAAAGCAATAAGCAATGAGTGTTATCCTGAAGAATTGAAGCATCTCAATGGCAAAATGATTAAGAATTAAAAAAAAAGAATTTGTTAGGTAAAACGTTCTGAATGGCAGTGAATCCTGGATAATTAACAAATATAGTGAAAATGAACTTGGAGCAACTGAGATAAGGTTTCGTACGGTACTGTTGAACATGTTATGTAAGGGAAAAAATCAAATGTAGTGGTGCTGAAAGAAATCCAAGTGGGCAGCTCAAGAATATAAATTATTAGCAAGTGACATATCCCCTCGACGCTTCACAACAACGGAGGATGGAAAAGTAAAAGTAAAGTAATATAAAGTAAAGTAAAGTAAAGTAAAGTAATGTAAAGTAAAATAAAGTAATGTAAAGTAAAGTAAAGTAAAGTAAAGTAAAGTAAAGTAAAGTAAAGTAAAGTAAAAATAAAAGTGAAAGTAAAAGTAACTGTAAGTGAGACACATTAAATAAAGCAGACTCGGGGATATTTGGATAACCATAAATGCTTTAAATGTCTTGCTATCACTGGAAACATAGAATGCGAAAGAGGCAGGGTTAGACCAAGTACAACAAACTTAGAGAACATGAGCAGGTTGATGACAGGGAAAATCCTGGAGAATATGGATCTCTTAAAAGCATTCGAGCCGAGAAATGAGTGGCGAACCATGATCGCTGATGTTTGTTTCCGAGCTGGGCTACCATGATGAGGTACTGAAATGTCAGGGGTCACCTCTGGTGTCTGTTTTTCTTTGCATGGATACTTAAAGGCCATTGTCGTCTCTACTTGCTACCCTTTACATAAAACTAAAAGATCTATCAGCTGGCAAGTTGTGCGTCCTTGATGGATGAAAATGAGACAATTTCTGCCCCCGCAGTCTTCTAGAATTTTCTTTTAATGTAGGGGCTTTACGTCCCCACCCACACAATTTAGACTGTTTGGACCAACCCAGCTTGAGAGGGATACAGTATCCCGGATGAAAGATCGAAATACTCGATTAAAAAACTCTCCCCACACCCGAATCGAACTTGGGTCTCCTGTGTGCGATGGCGAAGCGCCTAATCGCTACACCACAGAGTCAGGTCTGGGAAGAGGAAAAGGAGGAGTAATTAGGGCCTACCTTTGACATTTCAGAGGACCATACATTTTGTGTCACCCGAACGGGCGAAGGACTATCTTCCTCTTTCATCTTAATCTTAGATTGAAATTCCCTGCCCTTTCTCGAAATGTGGGACTCGCTGACATTAGACGCTGGTAATCTCCTGCAGAGGTATTGTGTTACCAGTACATGAGTAAGACACCCACTGTTTTAATGGAGCAGCGACAGACAACGAGTTTTGGGTCTGGATCTAGATCTAGTCTTCTTTGTCTTTAATTTTATTTACTCACGGATGTGCAATTTGGATAGTTTGTAATAAGAGGGGAAAAACCGATACAATTTCTGGGTAAAAGTATCCCCCTCCCCCCCCCTCCAAAAAAAAAATTAAACAAAATTGTAAAATAAGTTAAATGCAATGTTCTCCCTTTAAGTCGTGATGAATCAAATCTTAATACTAATTATAGTTCCCGCGGAGAGTGGAGTCCACAGAGTTAGTTTTAGTAGTGGTTTTACGGCGCTCGCAACTGCATAGGGTCATATGAGCACCAAGGGGTGGATGTCAATAGAGAAGCCTTTACAGGGAATCTCTAGCTTCAACAGCACGGAGTCTGCTTCGACTATCAAGGGACCCCGGACATAGCGTGTCACATGAGTGTGACAAACATACAAAAGAAGTACAGAAAAAATGACGATAGTACGGATTAGGAAAGAAAAAGCAGCAGTTCCATGTTGAGGTTCAGGCACAGTTATGAGCATGACATTGATGGATCAGCCCATTTACATTTACAATTCTATATTGCACAAGAACATGGTTAATGTCCCCCCTTTGGGAATGGCCTTAAGACACTTCAGTCAGTAGACTCCGCAGACTCTGCGTGCGTAGTAGGTCAAGTACGTTGCGAATGGAGGGCTCAAGTTTACTCTTACCAATTTTTAGAAGGATATGTTTACATTCAAAGTAAACTTGTTTTTAGCTTAAAATGCAGGATGTCGTGCCTGGGCGACACTGACATTATTGGTAGTTTGATGTCAAGTCAACTTGAGGTGCAATTCCCTTTCTTTATTATCACGTCCTTCCCAGATAGCAGAATGTCGCTCATAAACTACAACATCTCTCTCAAAGATTTATCTTCACTTTGTTAATAAAAGTCTATCTGAACCCCC